TATCCTCAATTCTGAGACCACATCAGTATTGCCTTTATTGTCCATATATCCACCAAAATTTTGTACATGATTTTTTATGTGCCCTAGTAAGATGAAAACTTGCTTTATGCCTCTTTTTATTTTTATTTTTTATAGATGGGGTCTTGCCACACTGCCTAGGCTGGTCTTGAACTCCTGGGCTCAAGCGATCCTCCTTCCTCATCCTCCCAAAGTGCTGGCATTATAGGCATGAGCCACCATGCCTGGCCTACCTGTCCTCTTTTGTGAGCTCTTACCAGTGTCCAAAGACAAAATTACAAATTTAGGTACTGGCAGATTTAGTGTCTGATGAGGGCCGATTTTCTGATTCACAGATAGCTTTGTTTGTTTGTTTGTTTTTTGAGACACAGTCTCACTCTGTCACCCAGTCTGCAGTGCAGTGGCATGATCATGGCTCACTGCAGCCTCGGCTTCCCTGGGCTTGGGTGATCCTCCCACTTCAGCTTCCCGAGTAGCTGGAACTACAGGCGTGTGCCACCATGCCCAGCTCATTTTTTAATTCTTTGTAGAAATGGGACTTTATCATGTTGCCCAGGCTGGTCTTGAACTCCTGGGCTCAAGTGATCTGCCCACCTCAGCCTCCCAGAGTGCTTGGATTGCAGGCAAGAACCACCATGCCTAGCCTCATAGATAGCTATCTTAATGTATCCCCCAAGGCAGAGAGCAAAAAAGCAAGCTGTTGGGAGGATTCACAATAGGTAACTGATTTCATTATTGAGGCTCCACTCTCATGATCTAACCTAGTCTGTATTATATCCCAAAGAAGACATTCCCTAATTCTGTCACATTAGGGAAATGGATTAGAATGAGTGAATTTTATGAGGACACATTTATTCTATAACAGGTGGTCTGCTTTTTGTCGTTGACTTTTTAGAGTTCTCTCAGCAGTCTGCATATTAATTTCTTGTCAGATACACGAATGGAAATGCTTTCTCTCATTCTATGGGTTGTCTATTTTGATGCCAAAAGTTTTAAAATTTCATACATTTCCATTTCTTTTTTCTCTTATGGGTCATGCCTTTGGTGTCATATCCAGGAAATCATTGGAAAATCCAGGTTCATAAAGCTTTTGCCATATACTTTTTTTTTTTTTTTGAGACAGAGTCTCACTCTGTCACCAGGCTGGAGGGCAGTGGAGCGATCTCAGCTCACTGCAACCTCCACCTCCTGGGTTCAAGTGATTCTCTTTCCTCAACCTCCCAAGTAGCTGGGATTACAGGAATGCGCTACCATGCCCAGCTAATTTTGTATTTTTAATAAAGACGGTGTGGTCAGGCTGGTTTTGTACTCCTGAACTCAGGTGATTTGCCAGCCTTAGCCTCCCAAAGTGCTGGGATTACAGGCGTGAGCCACCGTGCCTGGCCAGGGAAGGGTACATTTTCATTCTGTTGCATATGGATGTGCATTTTCCTCCAGCATCAGTCTATGGAAACATGATCTTATCTTCCATTGTATCATCATAATATGCATGTCAAAAATTGTTGGACACTAGGCAAACATGTATTTCTGTCCTGTGTATTTTGTCACAATTGTCTATTTCTGTGTCAGTATGCTGACACTAAATTTTTTTTATTAGTATAAATTTGCTCTAAGTTTTGAAATCAGGAAGTGTCAGTCTACCAACTTTGCTCTTGTTTTTCAATTCTTGTTTTGTCTGTTCAGAGTCCCTTGAGATGCCATATATAAAAAAATGGAAAAATGGGTCCTAAAAACTAATCAAGTGGTCAAAGCTATCCCTAAAAGGCTAGCAGGGAGCAAAAAGTGCTATTTCTCAATGAGAAAAAAAAAATCTTAGAGAGGTGTTCTGAAAATGCCATGTCACTTTTGAAAATGGGCCACATGGTAAGAACAAACTAAGCATTCACACACTAAAGCAGAAAGAAGCTGAAATTCTTGGAAGTCTTAGAGCTGCCTCTATAATGGGAAAAACGACTCCTCTGCTTCATGATAAACTGAGTATAAAGACTGAGAAAGCATTAAGTGTGTGGCTAGAGGACACATCGCTAAACAACATCCCTTTTAATAATAAAATAAAGTGTGAAAAAACAGCCTCTATGAATACCACTGTGAGAAGGTTGAGGAGAGCAAGAAAAAGGAGTTTCAGGCCAGTATTGTCTGGCTGCGCTAGCTACATAAAGCACCAGAGCCTCAAACATTTAAAGACCACAGGAGAATTGACACTGGCTTATGCCAATGCAATATTAGCATTCCCAGCAGAGCTCACAAAACTCATAAAAAGAAAGTCTACCTTCCAAAGCAAGTCCTCCATTGTAATGAATTTGGTAAGCCCTAAAAAAAGAAGAGATCCAGTGGTACCTACATCCATGACTGCCAAGGAGGCCCTGGGGTTCAGGGCCTGGAAAGATCACCTACTCTGGTGCAGTGTGGCAATGTGGCAGGTCACAAGAACAAGCCAGGCCTTGGCTCTTGAGCAAATAATCCCTAGGTCCTTTAGAACAAAAGCAAAACTTGCCTGCCTCCATTCTGGCAAAAATACAAGAAGGCTTGGGTAATGGCCATCTTGTCCTTGGAATGGTTCTACCAAGGCTTCATTCCTGATGTGAAGAAATACCTTGAAGAGGCTGGACGTGGTGGCTCACGCCTGTAATCTCAGCACTTTGGGAGGCTGAAGTGGATGGATCACTTGAGGTCAGGAGTTCAAGACCAGCCTGACCAATATGGTGAAACCCTGTCTCTACTAAAAATGCAAAAATTAGCCAGGCGTGGTGGCGCATGCCTGTAATCCCACCTACTCAGGCGGCTGAGGCAGGAGAATTGCATGAACCCAGGAGATGGAGGTTACAGTGAGCCAAGATCGCCACTGCACTCCAACCTGGGTGACAAAGCAAGACTTCATCTCCAGAAAAAAAAAAAAAAAAAGGAAGAAATGTCTTGAAGAGGCTGGGCGCAGTGGCTCACACCTGTAATCCCAGCACTTTGGGAGGCTGAGGTGGGCAGATCACGAGGCCAAGAGATCGAGACCATCCTGGCCAACATGGTGAAACCCCATCTCTAGTAAAAAAAAAAAAAAAAAATTACAAAAATTAGCTGGGCCTGGTGGCATGTGCCTGTAGTCTCAGCTACTCGGGAGGCTGAGGCAGGAGAATCGCTTGAACCTGGGAGGCAGAGGTTGCAGTGAGCTGAGATCGCGCCACTGCACTCCAGCCTGGTGACAGAGTGAGACTCTATCTCAAAAAAAAAAAAAAAAAAAAAAAAAAAAAACCTTGAAGAGAAGGGACTGCCACTCAAGGTCCTTCTCATAATTGACAATGCTCCTGATCATCTCCAATCTCTGCTTTGCCACTAAGAATGTGGAAGTGATGTCCCTGCTCCTAACACTACATCACAGTGACAGCTACTCAATTAAGGCATAATCAAGTAGATTAAGGTGACTTATACTTACCTGACCTTCGGGAGGATTCATGCCATCCTGATGCTAACTCTGACTGTACCATAGTGGATTTATGAAAGCACTTCACAATTGCACATGCAACAGTTCTCACTGCAGAGGCTATAGATGCCCCAAAGCTCAAGAACCCCAAAGCAAGCTGGAAGCCATTATGGAGAGAGGGAGTCAGTGATTTCAGGGGCTTCCCCACTATTGATGCAATAGTTAAGAATATCTTTTTTTTTTTTTTTTTTTTTTTTCCGAGATGGAGTCTCACTCTGTTGCCCAGGCTGGAGTGCAATGGTGTGATCTCGGCTCATTGCAACCTCCACCTCCTGGGTTAAAGTGATTCTCCTGTCTCAGCCTCCTGAGTGGCTGAGATTACAGGTACATGCCACCACACCTGGCTAATTTTTTGTATTTTTAGTAAAGACAGGGTTTCATCATATTGCTCAGGCTGGTCTCGAACTCCTGACCTCAGGTGACCCACCCTCCTCGGCCTCCCAAAGTGTTGGGATTACAGGTATGAGCCACCGCGCCTGGCCAAGAATATCTTAAATATTGCAAGGGAAGTTGGTAAGAAAGGCTATCTCTGACAGGACTGAAGACGATGTGGAGGAACACACGGAAGAGCATAAATTCTTTTTTTTTTTTTTTTTTTGAGATGGAGTCTCGCTCTGCCGCCCAGGCTGGAGTGCAGTGGCCGGATCTCGGCTCACTGCAAGCTCCGCCTCCCGGGTTTACGCCATTCTCCTGCCTCAGCCTCCCCAGTAGCTGGGACTACAGGCGCCCGCCACCTCGCCCGGCTAGTTTTTTGTATTTTTTAGTAGAGACGGGGTTTCACCATGTTAGCCAGGATGGTCTCGATCTCCTGACCTCGTGATCCGCCCGTCTCGGCCTCCCAAAGTGCTGGGATTACAGGCTTGAGCCACCGCGCCCGGCCAAGCATAAATTCTTACAACAAGGAACTCAAAGATGTGCTGAAATGCTCTATAGATTGATGATGATGACGATGACTTAAAAGAGGCAGGGCCACAGATTTGGACACTTGAAACATGTGCAGTTTTTCAATAGACAAAAGTACTAAGAAAGTTCATCATCCTCAAGTAAGATCCTTTGATGGAACTAAGCCTCCATGTCACCCACGGAATAACATGCCAACAAACAGTGCAAGATTTTTTTGATGACTCAAAAAAAAAGAAAAAGTAGCTTCCTACACTTCTCACTAAGCACCTGCAAACGTAAACACAGAACCTTCCATGGTTAAGGATCTGCAGCACTGAAGCTGAACAGAGCTTGACAGTAGTATTATTTGGCCTCCTCCAACAAGTCAACATCTGCATCAGAACCTAGTTCTTTCAACACTGATGATCATCCTGACATTCTGTCAAGATTCAACTTAGCCTGATGTCTCACTGCTTATCTACAATGCTACAACACGTGACAGTGTTAGGCACCATCCAGCAATCATCATCATTATCATCATCATCATTATACTTGGGTTATCAAGAGAGAAGCAGGATTTTGATGAGTGTTCACATGCTCATTCAGGTCACAAAACAAAAGCAATCTGTGAATGTTAAAACGAAGAAATTTTAATGTTCTGGGTGACATATACTCTGTAGGTGGGCCTGCAATGGTTGTGTCTGCGTTGAACACGTAGAGACTATTTTTCTTGTCAGGATTCTCTAAACAATACAATCAAACAACTATTTACATAGCTTTTACAATGCATGAGGTATTAAAAGTAATCTAGAGATGACTTACACAGTATACAGGAGGATGTGCATAGGTTACATGCAAATATGCCATATAACAAAGGACTTGACATCTGTGGATTTAGGGGGTGCTGGAACCAATCCCTTGCAATATATTGGGGGATAACTGTATTTAAAAAATTGAAACTACGGCCAGGCGCGGTGGCTCAAGCCTGTAATCCCAGCACTTTGGGAGGCCGAGACGGGCGGATCACGAGGTCAGGAGATCGAGACCATCCTGGCTGACACGGTGAAACCCCGTCTCTACTTTAAAAATACAAAAAAAAAAAACTAGCCGGGCGAGGTGGCGGGCGCCTGTAGTCCCAGCTACTCAGGAGGCTGAGGCAGGAGAATGGCGTGAACCCAGGAGGCGGAGCTTGCAGTGAGCTGAGATCCGGCCACTGCACTCCAGCCTGGGCGGCAGAGCGAGACTCCGTCTCAAAAAAAAAAAAAAAAAAAAAAAATTGAAACTACTTAAGGCTTTATCCCGTGTTTACATTCATAGGGTCTGTCTCCAAAGTGAGTTCTTTCAGTTTCTGAAATTGAATAAAAGTATTGAATGTTTTCCCACATTCCATACATTTACAGAGTATCTTTCCAGTGAGTCCTTTTATGTCTATGCAAGGAACGGAGAGAACTCAGTGCCTTCCCACATTCCTTACATTCATACAGCTTCTCTCCAGTGTGAGTTTTTTCATGTCCTCGAAGGAAACGGGAACGAGTGAAGGCTTTACCACATTGGAGACATTCATAGGGTTTCTCTCCAGTGTGAATTCTTTCATGTCTTAGAAGGCAAGTGAGCCAAGAGAATGCTTTCCCACATTCCTTACATTCATACGGCTTCTCTCCAGAGTGAATCCTTTCGTGGACTTTTAAGTTACTGAAATGACTGAAGGCTTTCCTACATGTTTTACACTCATAAGGTTTTTCTACTGTGTGGATCCTTTTATGCTGAGAAAGGTATTTGAAACAACTGAACGCTTTCCCACATTCCTTACACTCATACGGCTTCTCTCCAGTGTGCGTTGTCTCATGATTTTGAAAGGAAGAGAGATCGCTAAAGGCTTTCCCACATTTACATTTATACGGTTTCACTCCAGTGTGAGTTGCTTCATGTCTTCGAAGGGAACCGGACAGACTGAAGGCTTTACCACATTGTTTACATTGATAGGGTTTCTCTCCAGTGTGAGTCCTTTCGTGTCTTTGAAATAAACTGGGACAACCAAAGGCTTTCCCACATATCTTGCATTTCTGGGGTCCATCTCCTGTGTGTGTTATCATGTGACTTCGAAAGCTTGAGCTATGAGATAAAACTTTCCCACACTGCTTACATTCATAGAGTTTCTCTCCAGTGTGAGTCGTTTCATGATTTCGAACCGAACTAGGACAATCAAAGCCTTTCCCACATATCTTACATTTATGAGGTCCATCTCCAGTGTGCCTTATCATGTGTCTTCGAAAGCTTGTGTGATGATAAAACGTTTTCCCACATTGCTGACACGCATAGGGTTGTTCTCCCGTGTGAGTCCTTTCGTGGAGTCGAGTGTAATAGTAACAGCTGAAGGCTTTCCCACATTGTGTACATTTATAGGGTTTCTCTCCGGTGTGAGTTCTTTCATGTCTTAGATAGGTACTGTAATCAGGAAAGGCTTTGGAACACTGTTTACATTCATACGCTTTCTCTCCCGTGTGGATTCTCTCATGTCTTAGATAGGAACTGTAAAAAGGAAAGGCTTTGGAACACTGCTTACATTCATACGGTTTCTCTCCAGTGTGCGTTCTTTCGTGCAAATGAAATAAACTGGGCCAAACAAAGGCTTTCCCACACAACTTACATTTATAAGGTCCATCTCCATGGTGTGCCGCCATGTGTCTGCGAAGGTTTCCAAGAGAACTAAAGGTTTTTGCACATTCTTTACAATCGAAGGGTTTCTTTCCGGTGGGAGGCCTTTCATGTGTCTGAAAGGAATGCTGATGATTGATGGTTTTCCCACGTTGTTTATGTGTATATGGCTTCTCTCCATATTCCTGATGCTCACATGATTTGTGTCCAGTGTCAACTCTGATGTTGCAATTAAGAGATGAATGACCCATGGCGACTTCTCCACACCCACTGCTGTCACATGGATTTACTTGAGGAGTGTTCTTGTTCACAATACTATCTGGAACGTGGCCAAAAGTTTCTCCACATTGACTATCATCTTTAATTTCACATGTATGACTTCTGTAACAAATAAGAAATACATTACTAAAGGTTTGTTTACAAGTGATTTTATGTGTATTGAAGTACTAGATTTACATGTTTAACATTATCATGCAAAGTACAGGCTTCATCCTGTTTGAATGTGAAGAGACAGTGCTGTGTAAGATGGTCCCATGACAGCTATTAGCAAAACAGTGATATTCACATGGAGATTCTTTCTTCTTTCTTTCTTTCTTTCTTTTTCTTTCTTTTGAAACGGAGCTTTGCGCTTGTTGCCCAGGCTGGAGTGCAATGGCGCAATCTCGGCTCACCGCAACCTCTGCCTCCCAGGTTCAAGCAATCCTCCTGCCTCAGCCTCCCAAGTAACTAGGATTACAGGCATGCGCCACCACGCCTGGCTAATTTTGTATTTTTAGTAGAGACGGGGTTTCTCCATGTTGGCCAGGCTGGTCTTGAACTCCCAACCTCAGGTGATCTACCCACCTCAGCCCCCGAAAGTGCTGGGATTATAGGCGTGAGCCACCACTCCTGGCCCACATGGAGATTCTTAATTCCATTTCCAAGGGAACTATTTTGCAAAGACTGAATAGCTATGTCACATTTAACTATATGTTCCTGGGGAAAATTTTTTTTATAGAGATGGGGATCTCACTATGTTGCCCAGGCTGATCTCAAACTCCTAGACTCAAGTAATCCTCCCACCTTGGCCTCCCACAGTGCTGGGATTACATGTGTGAGCCACTGTGCTTGGTCAGAAAAAGAATTATTAGAATGAACAAATTCAAGCTGGGCTTGTTTACTTTCTCTGCTTGTTTTTAAAATTTTCTTATCATTCTATGAACCACTGCAGGCACATAGCTTTCTTTTGTGAGCGCAAATTACCTTAGATTTCTCCTGGGATTTTGGCACTGATCTCCAATGTTCTGGTCCTCCCATTTCGTTTCTAAAAGGTAGACCCAGGAAAATCACTAAAAATTTTTACCAAATTGTAGAAAAACTCTTAAGATTTTACGTGTACTGCAATCAGGCATGATTCATTCACCAAAGTACATGTGACTCTTCAACAACATGGGTTTGAACTGCACAGCTCCACTTATACATGAATGTTCTTCAGTCTCTGCTACCCCTGGGATGGCAAGACCAACCCCTCCTCTTCCTCAGCCCACTCAATGTGAAGACGACAAGAGTGAGAACCTTTATGATGATCTACTTCCACTTAATGAATAGTAAATATAGTTGCTCTTCTTTTTTTTTTTGAGACGGAGTCTTGCTCTGTCACTGAGGCTGGAGAGCAGTGGGCACGATCTCAGCTCACTGTCAGCTCTGCCTCCCGGGTTCACGCCATTCTCCTGCCTCAGCCTCCCGAGTAGCTGGGACTACAGGCGCCCGCCACCACGCCTGGCTAATTTTTTTGGTAATTTTAGTAGAAACAGGGTTTCTACTAAATTAAACGGGCTAATCACCATTAGCCAGGATGGTCTCGATCTCCTGACTTCGTGATCCACCCGCCTCGGCCTCCCAAGGTCCTGGGATTACAGGCGTGAGCCACTGCGTCCGGCCAGTTTCTCTTCTTATGATTCTCATCAACATTTTCCTTCCCTAGCTCACTTTATTGTGAGAGTACAGTATATAATACATGTGACATACAATATATGGATTAATCTAATGTTTATGTTATCAATAAGTGGGCCAGTCAACAATAGATTATTAGTGGTTAAGTTGTGGGGGACAAAAAAAGTTATTAAAGGATGCAAGTCTATTTGAGGGGCTGGCACCTCTAAACCCTGTGTTGTTCAAGGGCCAACCATATGTCCTTTCCATATTTCAAATCACGAACAGCGTTGATGACCAGGAAACAAATGTCTCCAATTGACTGAGTGAAGAGATGATGTCATCCTTACCTATACAGTCCAGATTCCTAATGGTTTCCTGCATGACATTTCTGTAGAGACTCTTCTGTGATGGACCCAGCAAAGCCCACTCCTCTTGTGTGAAGTTCACAGCCACATCTTCAAAGGCCACTGAGTCCTGAAACATCCCACATGTGCAGAGGAGGAAGGTTGAGACGGACAGCACTGAGAATCCATACTCACTGCATAAACTTTGCATGATGCTGTGGTTTCCAAGCATTTATTCAATGACATAGTAAACCCACTCTTACTCTGTCTACACTCACTTTTTCCAACAAAACCATTGTGATGCTTTAGTTGAATGTGTTTGGTAAAGTAACAGTCGAATAGGAACCTGCCTCTTGTTGGTGAGTTAAGTGAGTGAGTCTTATTGCCTGTGTCACCATGATGTCTATTTCTACAGCAGTTTGTGTAGTTCTTGTCATGACAAAGTATAACTACCTATTGTGTAGAAGAATTACCACTCCCAGTCCTGAAACTGCATATCCTGACAAAGGCTCGTTTGCAAACTTGGATCTTTCATGGTGTCTAGGCACTGGACTTAGAAAGGGGTCCCAACAACGTAACTAAAGCAGAGGCTGAGTGGGCCTAAACTGTTTATGCAAAATATTGGGGCCAGGCATGGTGACTCAGGCCTGCAATCCCATCACTTTGGGAGGCCAAAGTGGAAGGATCACTTAAGAACAGGAGTTTAGGACCAGCATGGGTAACATAGTGAGCCCTTTTCTCAACAAAAAATAAAACTAGGTCTGACTCAGTGGCTCATGCCTGTAATCCCAGCACTTTGGGAGGCCAAGACAGGTGCATCACTTAAGCCCAGGAGTTCGAGACCAGCCTGGGCAACATGGTGAGACCTTGTCTCTACAAATGATAATAATAAAAAAAAAATACCAAGATGTGGTGGCACATGCCTGTAGTCCCAGATATCCAGGATGCTGAGGTGAGAGCATCACCCAAGCCCAGGAGGTTGGGGCTGCAGTGAGCCGTGATCATGCCACTATACTCCAGCTTAAAAAATACAGTGAGATCCTGTCTCAAAAAATATAATAAAAGTAAAAATATATATGTATGTAATATATATTTTAACTCCTATTCCCCCTCTGAGAGTTTGGAAGTTTGTTATATGGTCAGCAGAGAGAGAATACCTGTTAGCCACTGCTAGGTGTGAATGCTTGTGCTCTCCAAAACTCATGCTGAAACTTCATCCTCAATATGACAATAATGAAATGTGGGGCTTTAAGAGTTGATTGGGACTGGGCGCGGTGGCTCACACCTGTAATTCCAGCACTTTGGGAGGTCAGGAGATTGAGACCATCCTGGCTAATACAGTGAAACTCCATCTCTACTAAAAATACAAAATATTAGCTGGGTGTGGTGACGGGCACCTGTAGTCCTAGCTACTTGGGAGGCTGAGGCAGGAGAATGGCGTGAACCCGGGAGGCGGAGCTTGCAGTGAGCCAAGATCGTGCCACTGCACTCCAGCCTGGGCGACAGAGCAAGACTCTGTCTCAAAAAAAAAAAAAAAAAAAAAAGAGTTGATTGGATCTTGAGGGTTTGGACCTCAGGAATGTACTAATCCATTCATAGATAAATGGCTTAATGAATAAACGGGGTATCTCAGGAGTAGGCCTAGTGTCCTTATGAGAAGAGGAAGAGACCTGAACTCTTCTCTGGGCCCCTAGCCATGCAATATCCTGTGCCACCTAGGGACTCTGCAGAGTCCCCACCAGCAAGGAGGCTCTTACCAGACGCCAAGCCTTGATCTTGGGCCTCCTAGCCTCCAGAAGTATAAAAAACAGTGTTTTTTATAAATTACCCAGGCTCAGGTAATCTTGTTATAAGTAACAAAATCAGACTAAGACAGTTATGAGTAAACACTCTGGACACTGGATCGCTACTGAGGGACCCTAGTATCTAACGTTTCACATGTTCGGTTGTAATTTGTTACATGGGATATTCAGCCCATCCTATGCAATTACACTAAGAGAGAACATTTGGAAACTGGCAACTGGTTTCCTCTAGACCAAACGTAGTTAAGCACAACAAAAGACTAATAAAAAATATTTCGCAGGCCGGGCACGGTGGCTCACACCTGTAATCCTAGCACTTTGGGAAGCCGGATGGGCGGATCACCTGAGGTCAGAAATTCAAGACCAGCTGGCCAACATGGCAAAACTCCGTCTCTACTAAAAAGTACAAAAATTAGGCAGGCATTGTGGCGGGCGCCTGTAATCCCAGCTACTTGGGAGGCTGAGGCAGACAGAATTGCTTGAATTGCAGAATTGCAGACAGGTTGCAGTAAACTGAGATCGTGCCACTGGACTCCAGCCTGGGGAAAAGGGCAAGACTCTGTCTCAAAAAACAAAACCAAAAAGAACTCACTATCTCAATGGAAAAATTACAAATTTTGCACTGGATAATGACAAAGGAGAAGGAAAGACGGGGAAAGATTGCACATGTTCTAAGAAAAAACTCAATGTCACCTCTCATGATTATCTATAATATTCCCTAAATTCCTAAAGAGACTTTTAGTAGTCAACAAAGATTATATTGCCAAACCTAATAAAAGTCACCAATGTCTGAAAAGGTTAAAAACCTTCTAACCAGCCGGGCGCGGTGGCTCACGCCTGTAATCCCAGCACTTTGGGAGGCCGAGGTGGGTGGACCACAAGGTCAGGAGATTGAGACCATCCTGGCCAACATGGTGAAATCCTGTCTCTACTAAAAATACCAAAAAACTTAGCTGGGTGTGGTGGTGTGCAGGCGTGTAATCCCAGCTACTGAGGAGGCTGGGGCAAGAGAATTGCTTGAACCTGGGAGGCGGACACTGCAATGAGCCAAGATCGCACCACTGCAGTCCAGCCTGGTGACAGAGCGAGACTCCGTCTCAAAAACAAACAAAAAACAAAAAGAAACCCCCCCAAAAACCCTTCTAACCAAGAAAGTTATAGCTTTCCAAAAACAGATAAAGGATTTTGAAACTATAATATTTGGCATCCCATACTATTAACAGGGAGATAAACAGACAGAAAAAGGAAAGCAAAAAATGGTAGAAGAGCTTAGTGGAGTTTTTATCTGTCCTTGGCCCAATCCCTCCTCACATCAAAGCCAATCTCAAAGACAGCAGACCAAGTTTTCAGTGTGGATCCCTAGAGGTAGCAGATCAGGTCTTATCTGCAAATTATTGCCTGTGTATTTTCCAATCATCTGGGGACTATCCAAAGGTCTGAAAGGAGGTTCTCTTTTCTACTTCATCAGTAATGGAACCCAATCAGGGTCAAATGTGTCAAGAACTGTTTCAAAATGTTGCAAAATACACAAAAAGCCTGCGATCTCCTGGAACAACAGATTACAGTTAAGACGCACAGCAGACCTACTAAGTCGTGGGAAGAAAAGCTGGAGACAAAATTTCCTTCAGAAATTAGGGTACTGGAGGCCAGGCACCATGGCTCATGCCTGTAATCTTGGCACTTTGGGAAGCCGAGGTGGGTGGATCACGAGGTCAGGAGATTGAGACCATCCTGGCTAACACAGTGAAACCCCTAATAAAAAAAAAAAAATTAGCCAGGTGTGGTAGCGGGCGCCTGTAGTCCCAGCTACTCAGGAGGCTGAGGCAGGAGAATGGCGTGAATCCGCGAAGCAGAGCTTGCAGTGAGCCAAGATTGCGCCACTGCACTCCAGCTTGGGCGTGGTGGTGAGCTCCTTGTAATCTCAGTTACTCAGGAGGCTGAGGCAGAGAGAATTGCTTAAAACCCAGTAGGCGGAAGTTGCAGTGAGCTGAGATCGCACCACTGCACTCCAGCCTGGGCAACAGAGTGAGACTCCATCTCGAAAAAAAAAAAAAAAAAAAAGAAAGAAATTAAGGTACTGAAAAGCACCCAGTTATATTAGGGAATATTTTTGTTATACCTACCTGATCTAACAGATACAAATTTGTTTGAAATAATACTAGCAATGTATTGGGTAGTAACAGGTTCCAATAGGGCAAATGAATGACAGTGATGTTATATTGGATGGGAGGAAGGAATTTGGAACAGTAAGTAATACCAGTGCTACTCTCAAAGCCAGTATAGCATTATTTGAAACTGAAGGTCCATTAGTTGTAAATGGTGTACTACAAACTCTAGGGAATTCACTAATAAAATTTAAGAAACAAGTAGACTTATGGCCGGGTGCGGTGGCTCACGCCTGTAATCCCAGCACTTTGGGAGGTGAGGCAAGTGGATCACGAGGTCAGGAGATCAAGACTAGCCTGACCAACATGGTGAAACTCCGTCTCTACTAAAAATACAAAAATTAGCCGGGCATGGTGGCATGCCTGTAATCCCAGCTATTGGGAAGCTGAGGCAGGAGAATTGCTTGAACCTGGGAGGCAGAGGTTGTAGTGAGCCGAGATCGTGCCATTGTACTCCAGCCTAGGTGACAAAAGCAAAACTCCGTCTCAAAAAAAAAAAAAAAAAAGAATCATACAGAATGCTCAGTTAAAATGAAAGCAGAAAAAGTGAAGAAGTTAAAAAAACAGTCAAGTATAAGAATAGAAATCAATAACATATATACATATTACCAATTATGTCAATACCACTTTGAATGTGTATTAGCTATACATACCAGTTAAAAAGACATGGACTGGCTGAATAGAATAAAAAAAACAAGGCTGGTCAGCACGGTGACTCATGCCTGTAAGCCCTGCATTTTGGAATGCTGAGACGGGTGCATTGCTTGAGGCCAGGAGTTTGAGACCAGCCTGGCCAATGTGGTGAAATCCCGTCTTTACTAAAAATACTAAAAAATTAGCCTGGCGTGGCGATGCATGCCTATAATCTCAGCTACTCGGGAGGCTGAGGCATGAGATTCACTCGAACCCAGGAGGCGGAGGCTGCAGTGAGCTGAGATTGTGCCACTGCACTCCAGCCTGGGCAAGACAGCAAGACTCTGTCTCTAAAAAAAAACCAACAAATAAAACAAGACTCAGCAATGTGTACATGAAAACCATTTTAAACTGAAAGACACACATACACGAAATATAAAGGTATGGAGGAATATATGACATTCTTGCCCTAATCAAAAGAAATATGGAACAGCTATTTTAAATTCAGATAAATCACATTTTAGGTCAAG